CCCCCAGGACAGCCTGGCGGGGATCTAGAGTAAGCGACAAACAAACTTGTCACTAAGACTTATATGCACATCATTTCCAACATCATCATCATCATCATCATCATCATCATCATCATCACCAGAAATACTCATCATCATCATCATCACTAGAAATACTCATCATCATCATCATCATCATCATCGTCACCAGAAATACTCATCATCATCATCATCATCGACTAAACAAGTCCCCTTTCCCTTGTTTCGTTTCTCTAGAAAACAACAATTTGCCCCACGTCAAGACATTTTGACGTACCCCCACAGATATCGGCGCCAACATCAGGACACGGGACAACGACACAAGAAAACAAAAAGACAACAAACGACTCTCTTGTGGGGTCCACAGACTCAGGACTGCTGTAAGGCCACACTGGGGCTGATCTCAGACTCAGGACTGCTGTAAGGCCACACTGGGGCTGATCTCAGACTCAGGACTGCTGTAAGGCCACACTGGGGCTGATCTCAGACTCAGGACTGCTGTAAGGCCACACTGGGGCTGATCTCAGACTCAGGACTGCTGTAAGGCCACACTGGGGCTGATCTCAGACTCAGGACTGCTGTAAGGCCACACTGGGGCTGATCTCAGACTCAGGACTGCTGTAAGGCCACATGTAGTGGAAGGCCAATTCAAAACGGTTTTTGTTTTACTTTGGAAAAGGGGGTGGGGGGATGGGGTAAGAAGGTTGAATGTTTGTTAGCTTTCTCTTTGTTGCTGATTTTGTGCAAGGGTAAACTAAACGAAATATTCTGTAAGTAAGACGATGAAGACCGAGTGCCTGGTAAACTAAACGAAATATTCTGTAAGTAAGACGATGAAGACCGAGTGCCGTGGTAAACGAAACGAAATATTCTGTAAGTAAGACGATGAAGACCGAGTGCCGTGGTAAACGAAACGAAATATTCTGTAAGTAAGACGATGAAGACCGAGTGCCGTGGTAAACTAAACGAAATATTCTGTAAGTAAGACGATGAAGACCGAGTGCCTGGTAAACTAAACGAAATATTCTGTAAGTAAGACGATGAAGACCGAGTGCCTGGTAAACTAAACGAAATATGATGTGAGTAAGACGATGAAGACCGAGTGCCTGGTAAACTAAACGAAATATGATGTGAGTAAGACGATGAAGACCGAGTGCCTGGTAAAACCAACACATGGGTCGCCACCACTCGGAGAACGAGCGACGCTTCTGTCACAAGTTCACGTCAACGTCCATTGTTACTTTGTTACAGATTAGGTAAACAAAACAGTGACCAGTCACCTCACACACGATTTGTGCTTGAGTTGTGGGCGGGGCTTATAAGTTATGACGGATCACACGCTTCCCTCACCAGCAGTTGAAAAGTTATTGTTAGGCCTACCCATTGGTCAACTTGGGTAAACAGTCATTGGGGGGACTAACAATAACGACAGGTGAACGAATTATGACGGCCCGTCCACTGCGTCAGGGGCCGATTCAAAATTTTGGACAAAGCGTTGGGCGATGAGTGACCACGCCTGGCCGTCTGAGGCAGGTACATTTGACCGTGGGTTGATCAAATAAGGTGGCCGCGGCCGCGTTGGACAGGTGACCGTTTTACACCGTTAAGTTATATAGAAAAAAACGCAGGGGGGGGGGGTGGAAAGTGGCCGTTTGTACAGGTGGCCGTCATGGCAGGTTCGACTGTTTATCATAATATGTATATATACATTCTGTATACTGTATATTATAATATGTATATATACTTTCTGTATAGTGTATATTATAATATGTATATATACATTCTGTATACTGTATATTATAATATGTATAAATACTTTCTGTATAGTGTATATTATAATATGTATATATACTTTCTGTATAGTGTATATTATAATATGTATATATACATTCTGTATACTGTATATTATAATATGTATATATACTTTCTGTATAGTGTATATTATAATATGTATAAATACTTTCTGTATAGTGTATATTATAATATGTATATATACTTTCTGTATACCGTATATTATAATATGTATATATACTT